TTCTTCCTTAGCCTGTGCAGCCTCGTCGCCATCCTCGTCATTATCGAGTATTTCAAGTTCGTTACTGGAACTGACAAAAAGTGCAGCTAGCTCTGTCTCAAGTAGTGCGCCTTATTTCACATCTTCTCCAACTTCGCCATCATCAAGTATTTCAAGCTCCACTCTGCAACTGACAACAAGTCTATTAACTTCTGATTCTGGAAGTCTGCCTTTTTCCACATCCTCTCCAACATCGACATTATCGAGGATTTCAAGTTCCATGCTGAACTTTACTCCCAGTCTGACTTCCTTTTTAAGCCGGGTTCCTCCTACCTCATCGCCTTTCCCAAAGGAGTCTGAAAGTGCGTTTTCTGTCCTTTCGCTAACAGCTCCATCTACAAAATTAACGTTCATTACTTCTTCCACAGTAATTATTCCGCCTACTACTCCAGATCCAGAAACAACAAAACGATTTACCGTTAGCTTCACAATCACAAATAAGGAGTATAAAAAAGAATTTGAAGACGAAGAAAGTAATGATTATAAAGATCTTTCCAACAAAATTAACACGTCAGTCATTAAAAAACTTAAGCAAAAGATCGAATTTGCTAGCTCCAATGTGGTACGGTTTAGTGAAGGTGACAACATTAACTGCCAAATGTCAGTCGTCGTCTCCAAAACGTCGGACGCCACAGAAGAAATGATTCGAGAAGCACTCGGGGAAAAGCTTGGTGATTTGAGGATAAAAAATGTTGTTGTTGTAGACCCAGAAAAGACCACAACTACGCGACGTACAGAAAAACCAACAGAAAAACCAACTGCTGAGGAAGAGATCATTTTTGTGGTCATAGCAACGTTAAAAGACGAGATTTACAACGATAAACTCGGAGACTCCTCTAACGAGGAATTCAAAACTTTGGCTCTAAAACTAATTAAACCACTGACTGCAGTATTTGAAGGAAAATATGGAAAAGCCTTTCTTCGAGTAGTAATTATAGCCTTCCGCAAAGGAAGTCTTGTATGTGAATTTAACGTTATCACGAAAGAAGAATTGAAAGCGACGAATGATGATGTGAAAGACATATTACAAAAAGCAAGTGAAAGAGGAGAGATAGGAAATTACACTTTGACTGGGATTCAAGTTGAGAGAAAGATGACAACAAAACAGCAAACTGGGGATGAAGAAAAAACCTTGCCCAGCTGGGCGTTCGTTGCGATTGCAGTCTTCGGAGTTTTGGTGATGCTTATAATTGTGATCATATATTTGGTAAGATCAATAAAAAAATAAGCAAAGAGATTGTTATGGCATTGCGGGGAAGATATCAGACAAGCATCATTTTCTATTAATAAAACGCTATGAATAAATAACAATGATCTTAATTATCTTCGTCGTCAATAATAATGGCTGATATTCTATCTAAACCTAAGAGAACGTCAAAAAAGGTAACTGAAAATTGTCATGATTGGGAAAGTTCAACTTAAAAATGGAAACAACTAGCGAAAGAACACAAGTCTTTATTTTTTGTAAGACGTCATGAAATTCAAGGGGTAAGAACTATCGAAGGCTTACCATGCAGTATAGTTGGAAGAAATTTGAGATATTTTCATAATAATAGCAATTGAGGATTTCCATAGCGACATATCCATAAGTTCATGGCGCTTCACAATATTTTGTGTGGGACTTTGGGCAGACTGCAATTAGCAGTTTACAGTTTTTTAAGGAATGTTTTTCAGATGACCACAATTTTGGAATCTAAGCCAGACCACATACTGCGCAACGTCAAAATGAGGGACGAAAAAACTGTCCTGTTGTATGAAAATCAATTCTATTACAGTGTGACTTTTTGATTCCCTAGTCGAACCATTAAACACGATGCTTGGGTGTATACTCTGCGCTCTTTATGGTTCGCTTATTACTTGTGTCGCAAAAGCATATTAATATGGCGTCCTTCTTAGGCTCTATATAGTTAGACGGTTCAGAGATTAACTCATCAGCGGAAAACCGCACAGACACGTCATATATTTATCATTACGGACCTTCAGCAAACCACGACGGCGACAGCAACGAGGACGTGGGAAAACAAAAGATCTAGTTGGCAGAACAATAGTTCAGCACGTGCGTTTTAAAACTTTGTATACTGTTTTAGGCGTCCTATGCAAAACAACAACGTGAAATCACCAAAATTTGCGTCGGCTACGAACGGAATGTCCCTATGATCATAATGTCCCTATTATTATATGACCCGTCCGGCCCCGCTGGCGCAATCCCATAGAAAACCTTAGTGAAAGCTGACGTGTGCAGGGCCGGACGGATTGATGTGAGCCGGTCCGGAAAAAAGCAGTCCGACCCTACCCTCAAGTCGCTTTGTTGCAAAAACTTAAGGAAATGAGAAAAGAGTCCCGAAATGAGAAAAGAGTCCCGTTTTTCAAGGAATTGGGATTTTCTTGTTCTTACTTGAAAAAATAAAGGAAATGTTTAAATTGCAGGAATTTTTTTGTGTTCGTGTGGCTATGCGTGCCCGTCTACCGAGTAGTATTTAAACTGAAATTTTCAACAGTAAGTGGTCATACGATAACAAGCTTATTCACTGAGTTTGGTTAAGCAGGACGGGAAAATGCTTGGCTCTCAGTCATGAGGCACTTACGTCATGACCCCGAGTCAAGTAATTTCTCGTCCGTCACACCCACTCAGTCAATAAGTACATTTATTATCCAACTGCACAATGTAGATTACAAATGACCGGCGAATCGAGTACAAATATCACGCGATATTTGCACTCCAGAGAACCGTAAATAGATATCCGCGAAATTCGCTCACACTGAATTAACAATTTGGCGTGTTGAATAATGAATCTCTCATTAAACGTTTTGTTTTGTGGTATCGCTAAGTATTTTTATTCGCTGTTTGTATTCTAACTCACCCTACGGGCTCGTCAAATGCGGCACAACTCGTGAAAATACTCACCGATACTACACAAATT